CAAAGTTTTCTTTGCGGATTCGGGGAGATCTCGGCCGAGCGCAGTCCAACCATGATTTCAAAAACATAAAAATAAAAAAAAATTGACCCATTTTTGGGCCCAACCGGAATTCCGGTTGGACCGCCGGGGGTCCAACCGGCCCGGTTGGGACCGGGCCGGTCCAACGGGCCGGCTGCCGACTTAGCCCTGATATATACACATTTTCTAATTTATTATTATTATTATTATTATTATTATTATTATTATTTTTTGCTCAGCGGCCAACTTGCCTCGGATCTTTTTGGTAGCCTAGATTCAAACATAATTATTCTCATTTTGTGGTTAATTCAAGTCAAGAAAGGAGCCTATTTTTTTTTTACTTACATTGCATTGCCCCCAACGTGGGAGCAACGATCACCAATGTCTCTTAAACGGTTAAACCACTAATACTTCATAGTCATGCGAGTTAAGAAACCACAATTTTAGGAAACATACGGGCCACTACAAGAGCGCCCAAATTCATCCGAGTAAAAATGTTTCTAGTCTATTTTTTCCCGCCGCCGATAGCTGGGCCAGATACTGGTGGTTTAATGTATGTGAACATATATAATTACAATTCTTATGAGGAACAATTACAAGTCGATGAAGTGACAAATCAGGGAACCCTAAACCCAACTACTTTTATTTCCAAAATCTGCTGAGAAACTCTGTGTCACATATCTCCGAACTTCTTCGCGGTCTCGCCAATTACTATCACATAGCAGACTCGAAGCGCCAATGCATGGCTAGATTGACATACATACTTTACCAAAAACAAAAAATAAAAATCCAAAAAAAAATGAATTTGCTTTTCCTCAACGATCATTTTGAATACGGAATTCATTATCCATAAATTAACATAAATTAAATAGAAGGATTTATGATCATTTATCATAACCAAATAGTTATCAATTGCTTACTCATTTGAGGTTGTTTTTTAATCCAAATTTGAAAAGATCGATTGCTAAATTGGCAAAAATCTTACACAGTGAAAGTCTTTTCTTGATACTTTAACTCAATTTTTAGTCCAACAGATCTGCCAGTAAACTGTAGGCAGACAGGAGAAGAGGAAACAAACGAGGGGCTGTGCCAAACTGTTTCGTCAAAATTTCGCCGCCTCATCAAGAGGCTGAACCCTCAAAAGTTCGCAGAATCTCCTCACTGGTTATACTGTGAGTGAAAATCCACCTTAACTCGATTGTGGTTAAGCATCAACGACTGCCCTACAACTACATCTATATATTCTGCAAAAAACACAGAGTAGAAACATTTATAGTCAGATAAACTTCGGCGCTCATGTAGTGGGCCGTACATTTCCTAATATTGTGGCTTGTTTATGTGCACAGCTTTAGGAAGTACTGGTGGTTTAATTGTTCGAACTTCGAAATGAATAATTCGACTGGATCTCGCTGGTATCACCAATCCAACGAACGCGTAGTCACATGCATGCATGCATACATTATGCATACTGAAAAGGCAAGCCCACGCCTCCTCTCGATCACAACCAAAACTGCCCTGCAGCCGTTGTGCCCTTCTCACCTTTCCTTTCCTCTGTCGAGGTCCAAAACCGATTCCTTTTTTTACCCCCCTCCATTTACCAAGACATTTTAAAATATCCCTGCAAAATTAGTAGTGGAAAGAAAATAGATGCGAGCGCAAAGGGACGATTTAGATCCTCTCTTCCAACAAGTGCAACGACACCCCTGGACACCTTGACTAAGCACGTGCATTCTGACGAAGGGCACATCATTACCTCATATTTTTCAGACGATACTTTTGTTCCATGTTTCTCCAAACAGGGAGAAAGGAAGATGAACTACCCCTTTAGACCCCTTTACATTCTGACAAACGGATAATTTCATTACCAGACATCTCTCAAGGGACACCTTCCCTCCCATCCGGGGGTTAAAAAATGAATCTGCCCTTAATTGTCGTTGTAGGGCATCAGGTCCACCGTGACACATGGCAAAAACACAGATCCCATAAAATTCGGCCTGCATCTAAGACAAGAACATCGATACCAGCACGACGAACTACTGAAAAAGGTGAAAAAAATGACCCCTGTAATTGAAGGTACTGTGCAAACGCACACAAACCTGTGTGGGTGTGTCGTCATGTAAGCTACACACAAACACAACAGAAAAAAAACAGCACGACTCTGTGCACACACGCGCAAGAGAGAGAGAGAGAGAGAGAGAGAGAGAGAGAGAGAGAGAGAGAGAGAGAGAGAGAGAGAGAGAGAGAGAGAGAGGGGGGGAAAATACACAGCCTAATTGGTTTCGGCTGCAGATCACACTGGTGAACCACCAAATACACCACTGGTCTGAAGTGAAGAGGTTCCACATCCAAAACCGGAACAAACCGTGCAGATTGCAACAAAACTTACATTTTGCCCACTTAGTGAGCATGTTTGGTGAGTATGGCTCGATAGATCCATGTATGCACACATCGTGCTTAAGACAAAAATGAATTGAAAGCAAAATTAGCACATAAAAAATGCTTCTCATCAACCAACCTTACATTAGAATGCAGAAATGGTTAGAAAAGCGACCTGCCGAAGCAAAACCTGTTTCACTTTTGGTGTTAATGAACATTTGTTGATGTTGCTGTCTGTTAGGACTCAGAACTCTCAATTCGCCGGGCTGAACAAGCTTCCCTATTTTCCCCATCATCACTGAAGTCGATGCAGACAACGGCAACATCGTAGTGGCAAAAACCGACACACGCTGAAAACACCAGAAACGAAAGTCCCAAACAAAAACATAACCACATGCTGCTGCTATAAGAGACCCAAAGAGGACAAACGAGTTGAAATGACAAGACAAGATCGAGACAACCACTGTGACAGGGAACAGGGAACGTAAGGCTGACTCATTTAGGACTCTTATTGCAATCGGAGAAGAAAAGAAAAGGAAATGAGATGACTGCATGTGTCACATCTCATTGAATGTGGTCCTGCATGCCAACATACACATGCTACCGACAGAAATTGCGCAAGATGTCGACGGATTGTTGCGAACTTGGAGAGCCGCCGAGGGTTCCAGTGATAGCCAATGGCCCCAGCGATTCCCAACGAACTATTGACAATTAACACTTGTCAAGTAGTTCGTCCAGACCGTTCATAGAGGAAGTAGAAACAACAGAGAAAGTCCGCCCACTCCACCCCAAGGAGTCACCGTCAGACCGCTCCACAGTTAACTATTTGGACCTCAAGTGACGCGGTCAGCATTCCAAAAAAAAACCTTTCGGATTCACTGTTAGAGTCCTTGCTACTCTTGTGTGTGTGTGTGTGTGTGTGTGCTGTCTCTTATACACATCTAGATGTGTATAAGAGACAGGTTTCCTGCAGGTGTTGCTCCCCACCAATAAAT